TCTTTCTTAGCTAAATAATTTCTGCATAGGTTGGATGAGTGTTTGGGGTCATTATCTTCTTAGCAGTAGAATCATTTACCAATATTTCGCAAATCAATGGGTATACCATGAGGGATCAGTATCTGATAGTACTTGCGCTGGTCCATTATTTAATCTATTTTGCAAATATCTCTTGTTGCCTCAACAGAAAAACACTCCCAAACCATCACACTGTCTCCCACATGCTTCATAGTACGTGCTATGCATTGGGGTAAGTATCTTTCACCTTTGTTCCACCGGACGTACAACTTACTCTTTGAACCAAATATTTCAAACCTGGATTCATCCGTCCATAACACCAATCATCAACAGTCCACTTTTTTGTACTTTTTTGCAAATTTCACTCTCTTGACAACATTTGGAAATCGAAGTAAATGTTTCTTTTACTGTTACACGGCCAAATATTCCATTCTTGTTAAGTCTTCTTGATACTGTAGTTCTGGACACTTTTCTGTCATTTGGTACATGGTCATTTATCTCATGCTTGAGATTAGTGGCAGTCTTCCTTCTTTCCCCGAAGGCTGCACAGACGAACATACGTATCATTGAGTTTAGGTGTTCTGCCTCTTCCTTTCCTATTTTCAAATTTACTGGAGAGTCCAACCAGCAGCACATAAAGCTTTTATGTGAACTCTCTGCTCTATTGACAATCTTCTTCGCTTTTTTGGCCGTGGGATGACAACAAGACTTAATATATGGTGTTAAATACTGTTTTTATCAAGGTTTATTTGTGGAGTGCTAGTAAATTGATTTCTTCTAGCATATATTGCACTATATGCTAGCTCCTTGTTAGCTTCTTTCCATATAGTTAAGATACTACATGGGGTACCATGACAGTTATTTCAGATCCTAGATTTGATCAGTATGTTCATTCAAGCAGAACCCTCATGACATACAAGTATATGGGAATTCTAAAGAATGATAAGTATTCTCATCCTGGTTCATTCAATTGTCAACGTGGATCAGTGAAGCATTACCATAGTTGAAATTTACATTCTGTAATGGCATGGAAGTATTAGCCCCATAAAATGGAAAGAATGACAAAATATTCTCTTGCCCTAACACTTTTGCCCAGTACTGTAGCTTACTACAATATTCTGGACCTTCTATCAAGCAGTTACTACTTTAGAAGTTCATGTGCATCTTTGTGATTATTACATTTGTACGTGTGTGTGTTACGACAGCGGAAATCACGCGATGCTGTAAGCATGCGTGCTGGAGTTTCTGGAAGGATCGTTAATTTTCCTGGCAACTCTAGTTTGTTCGAGTCGCCCTCTTTTTTATTATATAAGCCTGGCAAGAAAAACCAGCGCAAGGGCATAGATAGATAGATATGCAGATAGATTGAAGAAAGAGATAATTGAGTCAAGCGAACAGTAGGCACCGTAAGTAAACTGTGTGAATGACTGTGATTTATAGCGTGTGTTATAAAGGTTGTTAAGTTTAAAGTGATTGTGGAAATTCTGTGTATTACAAAGTTGTATCGAGAAAGAATAAACTAGTTTTAAATAAGGACTTGTATCGCTGAAGTTCCTCGGAAAGAATTTACACCGGAAATTAACAAACGAGAAGATAGGTTTGTTTGTTTGTTTTGAATTTCGCGCAAAGCTACACGAGGGCTATCTGCGCTAGCCGTCCCTAATTTAGCAGTGTAAGACTAGAGGGAAGACAGCTAGTCATCACCACCCACCGCCAACTCTTGGGCCACTCTTTTACCAACGAATAGTGGGATTGACCGTCACATTATAACGCCTCCACGGCTGAAAGGGCGAGCATGTTTGGTGGGATGGGGATGCGAACCCGCGACCCGCAGATTGCGAGTCGAGCGTCCTAACCACCTGGCCATGCCGAGCCAGAAGATAGGTAACAATATATATATGTATATTAAAATCATCGAGTCAGTGACTGAGATAATTAAACTAAAATGTTGATTTTTTGAAATCTTATAGTGCTCCAATAATATTAACTGATCCCTCTTAGACACACGAAACTCAGAATAAGTAACAGGGTTAAATGATTAAATTAAAATAATATTTAAAAATGTAGATGAAATTTTGACAACGTACATTTTTCTAATAAAACATTTAAGAGAATCTTATATATATTTTTAAATTAAAAAAATGCGTAGATACTAATATATATTGATTGGTTATTTGTATTGCAACAAAGCTCTTTCAACGGTTGGGGAATCATTATGTAACGGTCAATCCCACTATTCATTAGTAAAAGAGTAGCCCAAGAGTTGGCGGTAGGTGATGTTGACTAGCTGCCTTCCCTCTAGTCTATCACTGCTAAATTAGGGACGGCTAGTTAAGATAACCCTCGTGTAGCTTTGCACGAAATTCCGAACAAACCAAACCGATCAGTGGACTTTCTTCGTAAGTAAATTTGTGTATTTTAAATTTAAAAACTTCGTGTTATATCATTTCAGTATGTCTTATCCTACATTATGCAAAATAAATCTACTTTTTCTGTTCTAAATATACAGAACATAAACTTTAGAATTTACAATAACTTTTGAAAACACTGTTGGAAAAATTTTATTAAATAACCCAACGCGTCTTTCCACGTTGTCATCATCTTTTTTTGTTATTGTTGTTTTTTTTTAACCAACAGTTGATACGCGATTGTTGATGCCACCGCACGGGCGGAATATTAGTTCTCGGGGGAAGTGATTAAGACTGAGGATAACTAAGTTGCGAAACGAAACGGAAATTTGAAAGTTAAACCAGGAAGAGGGGATGGAAAACGTCTTATAAGAATAACGCCCTAAGTATATAATAAAACTAAGCACTGTCCGATAATCCAGAGTACTTATAAGTTCAAAAATTTGAATTAAACTACGTTTATATATAAAAGAATTGTAGAATTTGTGAAAATGCCCGTCGATTTAGACGATTTAATGAAACTTTTGATGATTCTGGCATCAGAGGAAAACCTTAAAGTTACAGTGAACGAATCAGTAAAAGGTGGCATTGTTGCAGGAACATCTGCAGCAGTTGGGGGTTTACTTATGGGTCCGGTTGGTCTTGCAGTTGGTATGTAGGCTTAGTTGTTGTTCTTGTTTTTATTTCAGATATTGTACACATGACTTATATTAATTTTGAAATTGATAGTTTTGAATCAGTACATGGGACTACTAGTAGTAGTAGTAGCAGCACAAATGCTAGTTCTTTAGTACTACTAGTACAAGTAGCGAATAACAAGACTCCATATTTATATATAGACAGAAGCAAGAGAGCTTATGAAGTCAGCAAGTGTTTTACAAGTAATAGGCAATTTCATAGACAATTTGTTTCCCAAATATGGATTTCTAATTATATGTGTGTTTGAATTTTAACTTAATTAAAGCCTTGTTACCTGAAATACAATTATAAATAGGAAGCCTGGTAATTTTGGTTTTGAAATAAGAGTTTGTATACTTGTTTTTGTAAACTAAAGATTTATTACATTTTAGATTACTTTCGTTTCATATAATTAACTAATTATTATATATTAATATTTTATTTTAGGTGGTGCAGTTGGTGGTTGTGCAGCATGTTACATAGCTAGAGACAAGTTTAAACCTGTTGTTCAAGTAATACAAGAAATGTCTAATGACAAGAAGGAAAGACTAGTAGATGCTGTTACAGATGTAACATCCAATCTGAATATTACTGATGTGGCAAGGTTGGCAGTTTTGCTTTCTGGAAATGCTGCAGTGAGAAAAATGGTTATTGATGCTATGATGTCATTTCTCAGCAATGAATTAAATTATAAAATACTTGATAATTAACTTCAAGTTCTGTGTTTTCAGTTTCTAAGTATGTATTTTAACTACACAATAAATGTACCATGCTGGGTGAATGCCAACAGAAGTCAATTTAGAATGTTCATTAATTTCACTGAGTTACATAGTTCCTGACAAGATTTTATAACTTGTGCTTCTTGCGTTCTTTGTATAAGATGTCGCATTAGACATTTTAGATAATACTTAGCATAATTTACAACATAAAACACAAGGCTGTCAACCTATGCAATTGGATTTAAACCTGATATCCCCATTTTGTACAAATAATGTTTCATTAACTGAGATATCAAACAAAACTATGAAACCTAATAATTATAACTGAAATTTGAAGAATAAAATTGACCATTGCACTTTGTTTTTTAACAGAGCCAAATAGGTTTTAATATAAGTAAAAATATAAAACTGATCAGGTTAATATACATAATTCAACAACAAAAATTATTGTTTCATTGGAATAGGACTATTATAGAGAGTCTGATAATTTAGTTGGCTACACAACTAAAAATTAAAAAAAATCTCATTTCTTAAAGTTTCTAAAGAGTAATTTAACCATACAAGTACCATTATATTGTATATCATTCTTCTTGTAATGGTTGCTCAATATTGTATTTGAATCAATATGAAGTCCTCGAACTGATGTTGGAAGAAACATAAGAAAGAATCTTAATGTTAGGAATTGTTGATCAACAGTGAAACTCACTATAATGTATTCTTGTAATCTCCATTAAAACAAAGTTTACATTTACAATGATAATTAGAATTCTCAAGGTTAAACATATTTTATGTAAAGCAACAAAAATGGTGCATTTTATGTTTGTATGTATTAAAGAAAAGCCCAATTTAATGATATAACTGTTATTTTTGTATAATGCAAATGTTTAAACTACTTTTTATTTTTCTGGTCTTTCTAGTCAGGGAACTTTTTAGTTTTCCACAAATTTGTGTATTTCTGAAAGTTGACTATTAAGTAAGAATTTGGAGAACAATGTATATCTTTCGTAAATACTTAATCTTCACCCATGAAACAGTAATCTGTAAAACATTGACAAATTTCAGAGGTGTTAGAAACAGTAAAGTTAAGGGAGCTTAAAGGAAGTATTGATAAATATTTAGGTAATAAAGACTGGCTTTGAGTTTGTTTGTTTTTTAAGTTTACTTTAGCGGATGGAACAGTATATTAGTGATGGTATATAATACTTCACTGCCATGAAAGTCAGTGAAGGCACTGTGGTCGTGTTACACAAAACAGTGTCTTTACATCTTTGTGTTTTGTATGACCTATATATTATTAGAAGTTTTCTTCATTAGAAAATTTATTCAAGTAACTGTAATACTTAGATGTTAGAGAAAAAAGGAATTAAAAAGTCTTGGTAGAAAATAATTCATTTCTTAAGCTTGTGTTTCTGATGATAATTAACATGTTTTGAAATTATAACCACTCTTGAAACATATTATTTTTGACTTGATAGTTAGGATGCCCCTGACTTGCAATCTGTGGGGCACGGGATTGAAACCCATCACAAAACATAGGAATGTTATAAAGTTATGGCCAATCCCAATATTCATTGATAAAGAGTAGCCTAAGAGTTGTTTTATATGGTGTTGACAAGCTGCCTTCCCTCTAGTCTGTTGTTTCATAATAAGGAGTGGCTAGTGCAGATAGCTCTTGAGTAATTTGTGCAAAATTTAATAAAACTACATGTCATATATATATTAAGTAGAGTTTTGTTAGAGATACATGGTTGGTTCAGTTTAAGGAGTATGCTCACTATAGACCAGTAAATATTTTCTGATCTTAGTGATATGTTATTAGTCATTGTTAAAATCTTGATGTTACTCTTAAACACTAAGAGGTATGAAAGAAACATGATATATTTTAACAATGTAACATATTTGTGTTATTCATGATTTAAAGAAAATTTCAAACTTTCATAATATGGTCCTGAGAATTTATTTATAGTAAATAATTGATATAAAACATAATTTAATAATTTAAAAATAAAATTAACAAGGTTGGTTTGATATTGAAAAATAATAGAAGACTGTTAACTTTTTGATAAGTCTATAAATAATGTGTTAATCAGAGTGTTTTAATTCACTTGGTATTTTTAGATGAATTAAATGAATGTATGGTTTTCTTTTAAATAAATGTGTATTTTATAGTAAAATGGAAGTTTAAGACTTCTAGTATCAGTTTTTTGTGAAGTAAAACATTCTTTGAACAAGCAAAGGTATCTTTGTAACTTATTTCATTAGAAGTAACATTGTGAAAGTATTTTACCTTGGAACTACTAAATGAATTAGTTTCTGTACACAGCCCTAGTTCTGAGGAGATGCATCCTCATTTGTAGTTGTCGAAAATGCAATCTGTGGTTTCTGTAATCAACATCACACGTGCATAACTTCAGCAAGAACAATCACTAAATCAAGTATTTGCAACAAATGATCTGAGGCACAGTTCACGTACCTCAGCTGGTCTGGGATAAAATTAGATGCCATTGTAAAGAGTCAAGATGCAAGAAAATAAGATCTTGCACCTCAGATCTTTATAACTGAGCTAGTTGACCTCAAGTGTATATACACACATTTTGTTTGTCCTAGCTGATAGTTCCAAAATATAAAAATTTTATTCAAGTATTAAAGCTTTGTATTATTAAGAATAACATGCAAATGTATCTGGAGAACTGGATTAATTTAAAGTAATACATGTATAAAGGATAAAATTGGTCACTGTATTGGTATGGCATTAAACTGGAATTACAAGCTCTAAACAAAGTAATAGTTATATATATTTCTCACAGTATTTCTTCCTTTTTTTCATTTAATGTATTGAAATAACGTTTTTGCAGTAAACATAAAACAAAACTATTTGGGTAAAAATTTGTATGTGAGATACTAACCTTTCAAGTGGAAACGGTTATTAAGAAATATTTGTTGTGCGAATAAGTATATGTCAGAGTTCTTCAAACATCCAATGAAAACATGTACATCTGTGTTGACAATAAGCAGATTTTGTAAAGGTGTGTTTTGATAAACTATTTAGTCATTCATCTTAAAATAAGTGAAAAAAAGGCATGAATTAAGAACATCACAATAGCATGTTTGATGGAAATTTATTAGATACTTACTAATTAAGTTGCTGCCTGAATGCAGGGGGTCCTAGTGGTTAGCATGCCAGTCTGTAAACCTGAGGTTCTATGGTTCATGTCCCATTGAAACAGAAACATTCTCCACACATTGGGGACATTATAAAAGTGATGATTAAATGACATTTTTTTTTATTAGAATAGTCCAAGTGTTGCTGATATGTGCTGTTGGCTAGCTGAATTGTAACTGGTCTGTCAGTTCGAAATTAGGAATGATCAGTGCAGATAGCCCTTGCTTAGCTTTGCACAAATTTCTGGGTGTTAAAACCAAACAAAGGTAAATGTAAAAAAATAATATTGGTTGAATATGCATGGTGTCCACAAAGTCCTGTTCCGGTTTTGGAAGTTTATTACAATAAAACCAAAAGAGCTAGAATTATGCAATTTTAGCATCTTGCTGCTTAGTTAATGAAGTTTTTCTTGATTTACAGACTGTAATTGGAGTGTCCAGTTGCAGTCGAATGAAGGTAGAGGAGTCGTGAGAGGACAGTTTTGTCCAAGGCGAGCAAGAGTGTCCGATGTGGGAGTGGGAAGAGCGTCCTTGAGGATTTTGTTTTAATTAACCATATTTTATAGCGTGTACAATTCCTCAATATTTACATTAGTTGTTTGGAATCATGGTTCGCCCTATTATACTTAAATCAACTGCCAACTTCATTGATTCCTTCTGTTTTGCTACAAAATCATCATTTTGTTTGATTTTAAGAACCTAAAAAGCAGCTGCTAAGGCAGCCATGCCCAATAGTAATTACAAGAAACAATCCCGCAAGTATTTTTGAGGAATCTAAGAGTCCAGGTGTTACTCTAGAAGACCACCAAAAGTTTCAAGTTGAAACATTCAATACTATCTTTGATACTCTTGTCAATTGTTTACGTGATAAGAGAGAGAGGTGTGATTCACTGAGTAAGAAATGTAGATTTCTGGATGATCTTGCATCCATAAAAATTGAACCCCTTCGCAAAAATGCATCCATTCTACAATAAGCATACCCAGATAAACTGGAAACAACTTTCCCAGATGAAACTGTCGCATTTCAGAGTATTTTGTAACCTATTTTCCCAGCACCAGTACCAGCATAAGTTGTAGTGTCAGTGACAAGAAGGGGAGCAAAGAAATCCCAGATAGTGCATACTGCATCAAATTGTTATACGAAAAAACATAGTCTCAGTCTATCCAAATATAGACATATCCCTTTGCATGTACCTAACATTACATGTATCCGTGACCGAGAGAGAGCATTCCTTCTCAAAATTGAATTGTATAACTCTCTCAACAGTGGCTCAGTCAATTTGACCGACCACGTTACCTCTTTGTACTTGTTCAAATTCTTTATAGATTTGATACTATTAACATTTAATATAGTGTGTATATCCTCACGAAATTTGGCAGTTTTTCAGTAAACATGACAAATTTTTCACATAGAAAAAAATCATATTTTTTAGTAAAGTATTTTTAATAAACTAAAAATAGTTTGTCCTTGAATACATTGAGTATTTGCTTTGAATGGTCCATGTGCAAAGTAATTTTCATGTTAAGATTAAAAATATCTTTTTATCTCAAATTTCATTTTTGGTACTCTCGAAAACCACCTAAACACATTTCAAATACTTTTTTTCGGTAAAATTTTATCTGTAATTTTCTCTGTACAAAGTTGGTCAATTTGACTGACCTTGGAACCCCCAAAAAGAAATCGAAATAAATCTAAATTACCCTATTTTTCTTTCTAGGATAACTTCAAGTGAAGCATGAAACTTCGTTTATCCTAAGTAACTGTAAATTCATAACACTATACATCTATTTATAACTACATTTTATTGTTTTATTGCCCTTTGAACTTTGTATAACTACTATTCCCGCCATTATGAGTTGTAAATCACTTGGAGAACGTGGAGGTCATGTTACGCTATCGAATTACATGACTCACGATCTACTGGGAGTTGCTTGCATGCGAGCCTCGTGAAATATTTTATTATATTATTATTATTGTGTATTTTACCTAATTAACCTTAACTAACTTAAAAAGATACCTGTTTTTACATTTTAATTTCTTCTGTACTAATAAATAAACAATAAACATGAAAAACAAGAAATAAAGTACTTACCCCAATTTTTTTCTTTTTCTTTTTGCTGTTGACTATCGATGACACTTAACCTTACTTTTTTTTATACTATTGATCTTCTTTATTCATCACTGGAGGCAATTTACCACCTTTTATTACAAAGTTGGATGAAACGGATGTAGTTGTAAAACCAATGACAATCAACATATTGCAAGGATTCCCATCAATAATAAACCTGCAGACCCGTGGACTGATTTCTCAAATAATGAACTTCTTTTCTCGTTTGAGGTAGATGGTGTATTCTCAGCTTAACTACTCCTCATAAGTCTAGGTAATTACTATTTCTCAATGGCTAGTTAGTCCTTTGTTGTAACTTTGGTCTAGCTAGGCTTGAAGATTTATCTTAGGTATTTGTCTCCTTTGTTATTAACAGCTGTTGATTCTTTGTAATTTTGGATATAATGGATATGTTTCTCATATTTGTAACTGTTCCCTTTTGTTGAAGTCCTTTGGGAGGAGTTGCTATTCTCTTCAGGCTTTTGCTGAAGTTCCTGGCAATATGTCCTTTCAAATGAAGCCTATCATATTGTAGTTTATTTACTCCATTTTCTGTAACTAGGTGTTTAACTAGTCCTTTGAGTTCTTCTAGAGTATTGTAAGGCATCTATGAATTGATCATGTGGCAATAAATCCACTGTTTCAAGTTGAGTATCCAGAGAGGATAAATGGACAAGCTTTTGTACATCTTCAACAAGTTCCTCTGCTCCTAAATTTTTCTTTAGAAAATTTCCTTAACATGTGACTTATAAAATTTGTTTAATAAGATGATCACTAATGCCTACTAGTCGTTTGATGCAAAAACTGTTGAGATAATGCAGATGAATGTGTGGCTGACTTGTTCCTTGCATTTGCCAATTCAATTTCTAGGTGTATTATCCTTCTGTTCATTTTTTGTGGCCCCTCTGTCTTTTTATAGCTTTTCCATACTTCTTCAGTCCTGTTATATTTTTTCTGTCCTTTCCTAATTCTTTTTGTTATACATTTTCTGTACTTCTTAAATCTTGCTGTTATAATTTTTCTGTATTTTACTGATGCATTTTTTTTCTTTGTTGATCTTGTAATTTAAACTTTTTTGTATATTTTTCAAGGATTTTTTAACTTCAGTCAGTACATTTTATATGCTTTTTGACCTTGTCTTTGGTTAGATATAGTTTTGTTTGTAATTTTTTTGTAGATCTTATGTCTCCTAATTTTTCTTTTAATTTGCTATTTCTTTCTTCTTAAGCAACTTTTATCTTTCTGTCACTTTCTCTGAATATTCACGTCTTTCCTCTTATCACTAAGCATGGTAGTGCTTAATATGTAGGGATGGGCCGAGAAAAAAATGGCTGCCACATTCAATATATTACTCTATGATGCTTACAAATAACTATTAAAGTTGAATTATAGCTTTATTTGAGCATTCAATTGCCATTATTGAGTGTTTCACAGCTTGTATAACAGTAATATATTATTCTGTTCTTCTACCACACGTATTTTTTGTGGGGAATAATAAAAGGAAAACTACTACTTAGCAGAGAGTTCATTTTATAAGTATATATTATTTCCATGTTTCATAAATAACATTTTTTATTTATGGTCGCTGGATGTCAGAATAAACTGTTATTATATAACTACCGTTAGTGACTTTTCATTGCACAAACATGATATCTGACAAAACAATCTCAGTAAAAATAAGTAAACAAAGAAAAATAATCTAAATTAATATTAAAGGCATCAAGGAGATTAAGTGTTTGTGCAACTGACAGAGATCTGTGACCATGCTATTGATGTCTAAGTTTAAAAACACCAGTTTCGTAATTATCAAAACAATACATTATGTAGGTGTCTACTTTTTCCAAATTTTCAGAGGGGCCAAGCCTAGCAACCGTGTATATATGATAGGTATCATTCTTCATGGTCTGGGATCTGTATGATGTATTTCCTATTAATCAACATGACTTTAGCATGTGATGGAGTCGACTGTATGCATATGCAGTGAGGTGGGGTGAGATTGGAAGGCATGAATTCTGTAAATATCCATTTAACGTCGGTCCAGCGTTCCATGGTACTTGTATCTTCCTGGAAGAACCATTCCAACTTCACTGGTCTCCAATGTAATCCAAAATTAGAGAACTGACAAAACTGATATTAACAACATATATATATTACTGTTGAATTATAAAAATAAAACAAATATTCACTTACCAACTTACTTCAATGAAACTGTTTAAAGAAAAAAGGGAAAACAAGTAACAAAACACATTTTGCAAAAATTGAGTATTATGTAGGGATGACAATGTCAAAAAGTTCAGAAAAAAAGGTAGGGGTGGATACAGAAAACCATACAAAAAAAATCCCTACATAAGTAGCCAATAAGTACTGAATCAAGCTTATAAGTTTATGGTTATTTGCCACAATAAGAGTGTATAGCACTATTCAGTTTAAAATTTTTATTCAGACCTAAATTCATGCAACCACAGGAATTCAACATTAATTATTGATAAACGTTATTTTTGGAAAAGTCACAGAGGCCACCCACGTGACTGAGGATCTTTTTTTATAACAAGGGATATTACTTCCTTAAGGCGTTACCTGGCTTGCCAGCAAAAAATATCACTGCTAAACATATTCCATATGCACAAACATTTTAAAATTCTAAATATTAATTGAGTCGACAGAAAAAATATGGCATGTATTACATCATTACCATTAAAGGTTTAACCTCACTTCAAGCACACATGTATTATCATGGTTAAGGGACTTTAGTTGGCATGAAACAAGCTCGCTGCATCAAAGTTGCATCACCAAATTTGTTATTCATAAAATCAAATGCACACAAATCGACAAGACTTAAACAGAACAGATGAAGTCAGAGAAAAAAGTAGTCGAACCAAGTTCAAGAGCATATTTTCTCAGTCACAAAGTTTTTTATCATCCAGAGGGCTAGCAATTAGAAGAAGCGATGAAGTAGTTGGTTCAATGCATAATGGCCATTACTTAGGAATAATAGGGCTATTGTGTGAGTATGATAATTTTTTTTTCTGAACACATTCAAAAATTTGGAAAAGGTCATGGTTCAAACTTATACTCAATTGTTTGTGACAAATTCATAGATATATAACAAAAATAAGTTCTCACCACCATTATCCAGGAAATGTAACATCCAAGGATTACTCAGTGTCTTTTGATTCTACTCCAGACATATCTCACACGGATCAACTGACAATAATATTTAGATACATTCTAGATGATGGACCTATAGAGAGATTTGCCACATTCTTACCAATAAGTAATCAAACAGGAGCAGAACTTGCTAGAATGCTTATTAATTTTCTAGAAAAAAAATGATATAAGAATTCAAGATTGCCATGGGCAGTCTCATGACAATGTATCCAATATGAGCGGACAACATGTTAGCATGCAAGCCTTGATCACAGAGAATAATTTCTTAGCAGACTTGATTCCTACTGTACTCATTCACCAAATTTGGTTGGACAATGCACTATGAACTGTTGTACTGAAGCTTGTTTATTCTATACCTTTGTACAGAAGCTTTATGTGTTTTTCTCAGATTCAACCCACCTGTGGAAATGCCTACATGATGTGCTAAAAAAACCAGTGATCCTGATGATAAAGAGGTTATCAGACACAAAATAGAACATCCATTCTGATGCAATGCGAGCCTTAAAAATGGAGTACAAAGCCATAGCACAAGTCAGAAATTACCAGAATATGAGGAAAAGGAAGAACAACTGTCAGAATACAAAAAATATAAGGTCGAAAGATCAAGGAAAGGGAAGAGAAATACATGATAGGACAAAGGGTATGCTGAGAACAGTGATTTTAACCCTCCACTCATTATAAAGTTCAAACATTCTTAACTGTAATTGATAAATTGCCACATGCACTAGGCAGAAGAATAATGGCATATGAAAACGTCACTTGCAAATTTGAATTTCTACAAAACTTAGAGTCCATGTCTACAGAGGACCTCCATAATGCCATCAAAAATCTGATTAGTATGTATCCTATAAACTTGGAGAGTTACACAAAGAAAGAAATTGTTCAATGTGCCACTCTTTGCAACGCAGAATTCGTTGAATAACCGTCGGAAATCAAGGAACAAAGCATGCTGAAAATTGATATGTGATCAATCTCTAAAACTAACTTTCCAAAAGTCCTGATAATCTTAAGGATATATCTGTGCTTCATGATAGGAAATTGCTCAGGAGAAAGATCATTCTTAATGTTAAAAAAGGATAAAGGATCAACAATGTGCCAAGACAGGCTAAATGCACTGGCACTTTTTTGCATAGAAAATGACTTGTTAGAATTGCTTGACAGCAAACAAATCATAAATGCCTTTGCTACCAAAGGAGCAAGGAAGACAGTAGTTTACATAAGTACAGATGACATTATCTACAACTACTACTACTGCTGGACATACTATGTGAGTATCAGTGTGATATAAGCAATTGTATGTTTGTTTATTTGGGTATGAATGCGTGAGTTGTTGATCTTATATATATGTGTATGTATATACTTTGCTGTCCAAATGCATATTTTGATTTTGTTAGAGCACAACTTTTTGTATTCAAGAAATATTTAGTATTGTTCATTAGTTTGTAATCGAGTCTTGCAGATCTGCGGATATTATTTTCCCACGTCTCTAAATGTAAAACATATCTTGAGGTTTAGTTATTTTACTTTAGTCTTTAGTTGCAATCATAATAGGCCCAGTAAAAAAAATTAGCTCCAGGACTGTCTGACCCTGGTTATGATCTTCATTAATTTCACGTGCGTAGCACTATTCACCCTGAGAAAGTACGAAGCTACAGATTTCTAGTACATAGTATGATGCTTTCTCAGGTTGCTATGGAATTCATAGATTTTATACAGATACATAGAACTACAAAGACCTCAAGTTAAATATTTTTTTTTTCAGCAAAGACGAAAGTCCTTATTTCAAACACACACACACACATGCTGTTGTCTTGTGTTACCTTTCCTGGTCGAATCACCCGTTATATAGCTTGAATATCTTATGCACAGATAGTCCAGAGTGACTTAGCGCTTATATGTAATTGTAAAAAACGCAAAAACGCCCATAAAAAACTGCAAAACACAAAATGTGAAACTGCAAATTTACATGTATATCTGCGTGGACCCAACAAATCTTTATACCAAATTTGGTGAAGATCCATAAACAGGTGTGAAAAACAAAAATTTGCCCATTAAAACCGCAAAAACTGAAAAGTTTAATCATACCCAACAGCAGCATGTGCGTTATAGGGGGGTACCCTCTTATTTAGACGACTTCAGATTTTGGAAAAGGTAACCAAAATCAATTAATTCGTATTCACCAACATTACACGTTCATTCTGCATTAAGCATATGACAGCGCATTGTTATGAAACATTCACATGAATGTACTTTTCCCAGTTTTTTAAAAATTATTGGTATTATCATTTCTAAGACATTAGAAATCTTTATGTCTGAGTTACTTATTATTATTATGTTTATTTTTAATTTATTTCGTTTTAATTTTTTATTGGTATTTGTCATATATTATTATATAGGTTTGGAATCTGAAACAGAAGAGGCATAGGATCGAAATGGAAAGACAAGGCCCTCTTAGAGCTCCCGCCTGGCACCAGCACCGCTTTAATTTATTGATATATTCTAAGTAATATTTGTGAAAATCGTTGGTGTCCATAAAATTCTTTTTAGAAACATATCTATGGATTTCTTTTGTTTTTACTAAAAGTTTGGTTCACTGTTATTATAATTTACTAGATGTGCTTCTGCAAGGTCCCCAAAAGTGTTTTGTTTCAAGAGTAAATAAAACTAAAATTAAAAGTAACAAATATTTTTATTTTTTGTTTCATATGTCATACTTTGTTGTAGCCTACATAATACACAATTCTTCTCGTGTTTCATGGCATGTGCACGTTTTACTGACATCTCACAACAGTACAAATTGCAACGTTAAGTGTGCCCTATGTGACTTCATTTTAGTGTCTACTGACTGGTTGACAGACAACGCACTAATGGATAGTGGTGCGAATGATTATAACAGGTGACCCCTCCTTCGGCCCTCTTTCGGAGAAACCAGCTTTCAGTGACCATTAACATTCCGTTGTTTTGATACATGGATCTTGTAATAGTGCTTATTTATATAGCTATAGGGTGTAAAAAAAATAGAACCTTGTCTTGAGTTTATGGTTGATTTTTCATCATGAAAAAAATAGTAAAACCTCTGTTTATAATAAACTGTCTGGTCTCTACAAGCAAGTGAGCATGCGCAATAATGATATAGCCTAATCTTCAAGGGTAGGAAGAAGGAAAATTTTTCCTCGTCATCGGGATTGCCGAACTTGTAAATTCTTTATCTTAGTGTTCTCTGGTTATTAAAAAGAATTAAATATTTATTCCTGAAGCGAGATATAAGCGTTCTTATACATAATGTCTAAATTATTAGAACAAGTTTTGCAACTGGATCCGGATACAGAGTTGCATTTTAAAGGTAAGCCTAAGCTAGGGTTAACCGTTAACGGATGTTTATTCTTGTTGGACATGATACTAATAGTTTATTATTTATAGTACATTAACTTTTGAGCTTAATGTATTTAATAAAGTTACTTTGTGCTTCATTTATACTATCTATTAAACAACTTACTGTGATTTTTTTATTTATCAATAATAGATTAACGTAAATTCAAGTCCCAATTCAATCTAAGTGCTTAGTTTCTCAGTTCTGTCAAAAAATAATAATTCAAATTCAAATTAAACCACTGGGAATGTGACAGAGATTCTGAAAGCTTTATATATATATATATATATATATATATAATATTGTTGTTAATAATATATATGAGCTTTTAAGATTTATTGAAGACTTGAGCGTTCTTGAATTGGATTCAAAGAACCCAAGCCAACATTATATTTTATTGCAATGCAGTTCATGATGTCTAACACATTAAGTTGATTATAATTTACACTGTGAATTATAGTCCCGAGAAGTTAGGTTTTATCCTGCAGAATGCCTTAATCTATTATGAAAATTAAGTGTGAATATGAAAAATGTTAAACAACAGTGAATTATTACAAAGCATAATGATATTTACATGATAAAATGTACAAAATCCCTGAGACTTAATCAGTAATCAAACTTTGTTGAACTAGATTTGTCCTAGTTTAGCCTTTTAGTTTTACTATTTAAGGTAGATGACCAAATATTATGCTAGAATCACTTTAAAGTTATTTGTTTTGATCTTCTATAACCCAAGTGCTTTCAAAAGGTGGTCCTTTCTAAAGGGGCAAATTGTTTGCCCCTGAAAAAGAAAGGCCCACCTTTCGAAAGCGCTCAGGTTATAGGTTTTTTATTCATTTCTATCAAGACTTCTTGAACCTATGTGAACAATTTTGTGGCTTTTGTCATTGAACCAGTTGGCAAAAGTCATTGCATACTACTATATATTTTTAGAGTAACTTTTGTGTTAATTCAAATGTCTTATTGAATTAAAAATGATTAAAAGGAAGTTTGAGTTAATATTACAATTTTTAACAAGATGTAAGAGTTAAAATTGACAAAAAACGTTAATGCATAATGTTCATAGTAATTGACATAAATGGATTTGTGGTTAAGAAAATGTTTTATTATTATTAATATATTTTATTTTTAGTTACCATAATACAAAAAAATTAACAAAGACATAAACATAGTAGCTAGATACCTGGCAACTGGGAACAATCTTTCAAATACCAAATAACCGAAAATTTTAACACTGATGAGCTACAACAATAATTTGAACCTATTTCTAGAAGGAAAGTGTTTCAAAATGAGAAATTCACAGTTGAGTGGATAGTAACGTTGATATGCTTTATATTTAAGTAATGTTTGTTAGTGCTTAAAAAAATTGATTTAGAAGATGTAATTGTTTTTAAAGGTTAGTGCCAAGGATGGATAAGTTTGTCATTGAAATATTTTTGAAATGTGTTTTGATTAAACAAGTAGACGTGATGTTTAGTGAAGAATCTACAAAACTGAATAATTAATTTTATTTTAATTGTCTTTTTGTAGGTAACTCATACATGATAATGATTATATTATGGGTTGAAATGTTGTAAATATTAAAATAAGATCTTGCCTACTGTAAAAGTTACTTTTATTTTACTTTGAATTAATTAGATATGATGATTGTTGCTTAATGAGTGAGATAGTGCTTTGAATGTGTTCAGTTTGTGCTAGGAAGTCCATAATTTGAAAATTGTGATATGTTTCTGATTTATTCAACTTGGCTTGTGATATTTAATTATAGGTAATTTTTTTCTTTTCATAGGGCCCTTCACAGATGTTGTTACTTCTTACCTAAGTTTGTACAACCCATCAGAACGACGGGTGTGCTTCAAAGTAAAAACAACAGCCCCAAAGAGATATTGTGTGCGACCAAATAGTGGATTTATAGAACCAAAAGAAACTGTGCGTGTGGCAGGTGAATATGCAGTACTATTTTTTGATGAAATCCATATCAGTGTATATTGTAAAGTGAAGTTGATGGCACAACAGAAAATATTTAGGCCTTAAACAGTTAAAATGAGTGATGGTTAAATTATACATATTGAAGTGACCATTTTTATACATCTTTTTTGTCTAGTATGTTTTTAAGAATGAACTATAATTATAGCCATCTCAATTCTTAGCAAAATGATGTACTGTAAATTAAATGGCTTTAGTTTCACACTGTTTGCTTAATTTAAATTGTCTTTTATACAAATGTTAATAAAAACCAAGAGGATATATACACAAAATCAAATTTTTTAAACTGCATTTAACTTTTTCGTCTTTCAATTTAATATGTTAATTGTTTTTATTCTAGTACCAATAGCATTGTGTAGGATAAAAATGTTGTTTGCCATACCATTTTGAAATTAAAAATCTTGCTGAAGTTTGGAAATATATCCTTAGAAAGAAATTTGGAAAATCTGAGTTTTTTTTGTTTTTTTTTCCATTGGAAATTGGTACCTTATTTTAGGTATGTTACTAGATTAAGTTTAATATGTGGTAGTTGTTTGTAGATAGATTAATTATATAAAGGTGGATATATTACAGGGCTTGACATTAATGTTAGCTCGATAGTCTAGGACAACTAAGAGATGCATTCAGCCTAGTTGCTGATGTGATGCCAGTTTGATTAGGCTAGTGGCCTAATATTGATTTTTTTGACATTCTGAAAAATTTGATTTCTTGCAAAACTGTGATTTTAATTTGTCAAACTCAGCATGTTAAAATAGTTTATTTTTGAAAGCAGGAAAGGACTTTATTTAACAGCTAATCAGAAAGTTTTTCTTTCTCTGAGGATCAACATCAGTACACTTCTCAGTTTACTGTTTTGAAGATTCTACATTCACATGTATTTTGTACTTACAGTATTTGATCTCTTTAATTAGCTATTAAATAGTTTTACTGAATGTGCAGGAGCTTGGTCCATTCAGGCCGACTCTATTGGTGAAGGAATATTCACTCTAACTATGAATTTATTCTGTGTATATATATACATGAAATATGGCATGTTCTTAGTAAAATGTACAAGTTTGTTGTACAAAAAACATCACATGAGTTTCAAGGGTATTTGTACTCAAGATACATCTTTGAATTGGCAATATCAGTCTGACTCGGACTAACAAGACAAAGTGCAAGGTGATCTGCATGTTAAGAATAAAAAATATTTTTGCACATTTTGCATATTGTGTTTGCATAACTTTTAGAACCTCTGAAATACTTATCTACAGTGTTTTAAATATCTCTGTATATTGTATCTCGTATTTACCCTCCTCTACTGTGAACTTTCATTAACCCTTTGACTACGACCAACTTACAAAAATAGGTATGCAACTCTCATGAAAGTTCTCTACAAAAATGAAACTAGTAAATGAAATTCTTTTAAATTTGAGATTAAAAGTCCTATAAGTATGTAGTTTTTGAAAAATAAGATATTCAGTTTTGATTTTTTTCTAAAGCAATGTTTTTCTCATGCTTTGTTTTTCTTTTGTTCATATTTCCTATCCAATATGCAAAGTAACTTTCATTTTAAGATTAAAAATACTTTTATGCATCAGAAAATTTTCAAATTTCACATGCAAAATCGTTATAATGTCCAGATTGTTATCAAATGTTTCTTAAGAAAAAACTTTATATTTTATCAGTTATTTTCACTAACGAATATTTGTACAGGTTTGGTTGATTTGACTGAACTTGTAACTACCATAAAAAAAAAGAAATAAATATAAAGTATGCCTTTTTCATTCTAGAATGGCTACAAATTATAACATGAAAACATAAATGTTTAGACTAAATAGCTTAAATCTCATAACATAATACATTTATGAACACTTAACACTTGCATTGCTCCATCACGCTAGCACAATGAGGTACATAAAGTGGTGACTTAACACTTGCATTGCTCCATCACGCTAGCACAATGAGGTACATGAAGTGGTGACTTAACACTTGCATTGATCCATCACGCTAGCACAATGAGGTACATGAAGTGGTGACTTAACACTTGCATTGATCCATCACGCTAGCACAATGAGGTACATGAAGTGGTGACTTAACACACTTGCATTGCTTCTCACAACTTCTTTTTTTTCATCCATATTTGCTTAATTCATATGCAGTCTGTGAAGATTCTGGTAGTGTAAGCCACATTGACTAGTATGACCATCTCCAACTTCACTCTATTGGATTTGGCAAGTCAGGATGTAAAATTTCCCCCTATACAATAGATGCATTGAACCAATGGATCATTTTTAGGTTGGTAATCTTTCCATTGATCATCCTTGTTTTGTAAAAAAAAAAAAGTTCCATTTGAGTTATGTTCACATCTGTGCATTCACTTGTCCTATCTTACATGACAACAATAAACTTTTCTAGCTCATGAATACACTTATTTGACACGTTATCAGGAGCCTCTGACACTTCTTCAAATGTTCCAGTCACTTAAATACAATAAATGCCATTTCTCATAAAATTGTTCTCTTTGTATCAAACAAGAAAATGATACATCAAAAAAAAATGAAAAGGGGTAAATTACTCTCTATATTGATGAACTGAGGGTGTTTACAATTGCATTAATAGACAGAAATTTCCTGTTCAGATTATATCCAAAGTACATCAAGATTTATTTTATTGACAGTAGTCTGCCAAAACAACACTTGTGTTGACTTTATATCTTTACTCTTGCTTAAATGTATCTGAGGCTTGAACAGTCAACCTGGTGTATAGAAAAGATCCTTCTTGTTGTCATCTTCAAGAAGATACTCCATTTGATAAATGCATCATTTAGTCCAGTCTGTGGCTGGTGTAGGCATGGACCCGGAACTACATGAATCTGAGATACCAACTGATTTTACATATTTTGCCATTTTATTGACTTAAGTCAGTAAAATACAATGAATTTCATTTAAAAAAAATTAACCTTGTATTGGAAGTTCACTATGAACCCACTCTTGAAGTGAAAAATTAACAATGCTTTGAAACAGATTATAACACTCTGCATTTGATGTCATGGACCTTGAACTTTATCATTTAATTGTAAATTTTTGTGATTAAAATTGTGCTGTACCTTACAAGTGCATAGTCAGTGTAGACCAATTAAACCATTGTAGTAAAAACACACTGTGAATATTATTGTTAGTGCATCAAGATGTACGAAACAATTTTGAAAAATTCATAATTAAATAAACGACACTTTAAAAAATCATCGAGGGTGAAACTGGTGCAAACACAACAACAATTGTTCTTAAATAAGTCAAACTATAGTTTTAACTTCTTTAATACATGCAGAATTTGTACACCTCCATATCTTGAATTGTATAGTCTGCCAAATACAACATTTGTGCAAAATATGATGCTTTTATTGTAAAATCTGCAATTCTGATAAAATAGTGAACTATGCTTTTCTACTACTATTAAATATAATGTTAGTTTTTCTGGTGTTTATCTCTTATTTCATAATTTATATCTACTACTTTGCCATAATTTATTTCCTATTGTGCATTTGACATTTTATTATAATAAACCCTGTTATTAAGTAAAGACTTAAGATACGAAAAAAAAACAATGACAGAAAATACTGTGTTGCATGCTTGTAAAATTTGTAATATATATTTAAATTATAAAGAATATTTTCTCTCATATTTTAATTGATACCCATCTTTTATCAAAATGGCATTTATGTTTTAATAACCTTAAAGTTATTGTCACTAATACTTTTTCTTAACATTCAGGAGAATAGCAAATAGGTAAAATTTTGGTTTTACATATAAGTGTTTTCATGAAAATTATCAATATAATTTATACAATTATAATTATTTATAGTTATGCTTCAGCCATTTGATTATGATCCACTTGAGAAAAATAAGCACAAGTTCATGGTCCAGACAATGTTTGCTCCAAATGGAGATGTCAGCCTTGAAACTTTGGTATGTTGTGTTATTAGTTGCTTAGCTTCAAATTCTTTGAAATATTTGCTTATATCAATAAATATGGTAAAGACGAACTAGCTAATTTTGCTAATTACCTTAATAACATTGATAATTCTATAAGATTTAATAATGAAGTTGAGATAAATGGTTTTTACCTTTTTTGGATGTTTTAGTGAGTAAAAATAAGGATAAATTGGAAACTACCATTTATCGTAAACCTCTCTCTGTAATCGTTCTGCCACATCAACAATCTTGTCACATTACTTCTCAAAAAACCTGTGTATTTTACTCTTATGTGGATAGGATATTAAAATTATGTTATAAACAGGATGATATCAATAATGAGTTATTATTAATTAAGCTCATAGTAGTAGAAAGAGGTTTTAATCCAGATGTTGTTGACAGAGCTGTCATAAAACTAAAAACAGGGATACAAATATTAAGTTAAAACCATTTGCTCAAAAAAGTAAGAAAGAATGTTTAGTACTATCATATATACCTGGTATATCTTGTCAAATAATGAAAAAATTAAAAAACAAATAAATATTTTTCCAATATATATACAAGCTGATAAACAAATTCAGTGAAATTCTTAATACAACTAAAGATAAAATTGATTTAATGGAAAAATGTGGCATACATGAAATATTATGTGAATGTAAAAACGTTTATATAAGACAAACTAGAAGAAA